GGCGCTGATTGATGCCCTGATGAAAGCTTATATATCTGAAGTTGCTAGTGTAGAGAAAGTGGTCAAGGCTGTTAGGTGAGTTTGTCAGTGAGAAGGCCTCCATTTTCGCATATCATCAGTGTTAGAAAACTGTTGATCACCATTATCATCCTCCTCATCATCATCATCGTTGTCATCATCATCATAATCTCTCAGAACACCACCACGTTCATTATCATCACATCACCAACATAGTTGTCATCATTATTATCATCATCATTACCACCACTATCAACATCATCATTCATTATCATCATCATCATCATCATTCCCACCTAGAGAACAAGATGCTTACACATGTTGTAATTGTAACGGACTCTGAAAGCATGCTGAGGAAGGTGAAGACAGGGATGCTTCGAGCAGAGTGGCAAGCTTCACTGGGAAGGTCACAGGTAGTGAGCATACATTGGATCTTTTCTCCAGGCAATGCCGGCGTAGTGGGAAATAAACAGGCAGACAGATTTGCTGGATCTGCACCACTGGGTGGTAAATTGATACGTGACAAGGCAGATGTGGTCAATACCCTTTGGGAATAAGCAACGTGATCAGGATAGAAACAAGATTATTTTGGCCTGGAGAGAATGAGGCACCTGGGTGTAACCAGAGGGTCTGGCCGGCACACTAAACTCAGAGGAAAGGCAAAACGGACATGTAACCAGATTGTGACCTGTACCATCAGTATTGGAACTTTGCGCTAGCTGCTGAAGATGAGGACAGAGCACACATGGGAATTGGGCCAGAGTGCTGTGATGTCCAATTCTTGACTCAACTAAATTCAACTGTCTAGATGAATCACGACACAACAAATGAATTATTATTGATTTCAAGCCTAGATGAGTCATAAAACCGCATGTATTATTAATGCTTTCAGATCTAGGCGAATCACAATAGTTAGTTAGTTAGTCTTTCCTCTTGTGTCGAGTGCGGCACATTCTTGACTCCATGCACTTGCAATTGTTGTAGGTCTGTCTGAGCGAGCCTTCCCTGATGAATCACGACAGGAAGTCTTGATTTATCCATATGAATTATTATTGATTTAAAGTCTAGATGAGTCATAAAACCGCATGTATTATTAATGCTTTCAGATCTAGGCGAATCACAATAGTACACGTGAATTATTATTGATTTCTCTCTAGATGAATCACAGTACAACAAGTGAATTATTATCGATTTCACTCTAGATGAATCACATTACTACAAGTTAATTATTATTGATTTCTCTCTAAATGAATCACAGTACAACAAGTGAATTATTATCGATTTCACTCTAGATGAATCACATTACTACAAGTTAATTATTATTGATTTCTCTCTAAATGAATCACAGTACAACAAGTGAATTATTATCGATTTTCCGCTAGATGAATCACAGTACAACAAGTGAATTATTTGATTTACGGCTAGATGAATAACAGTACAAGTGAATTATTATCGATTTCTCTTTAGACGAATCACAACATTCCCAGCATCAAGTGAACTTCCAGCTACTCCAGAAGAGGCACTGGTATTTTGGGTGAATAAAATCTGTACTGTTTTAGGGACAGAAGACTCGAGCAGAGCAAACACAGAGGGAGTCACAGATCGGGCAACAGGACAAAGGGTATGCTTTTCTTTTTGGAGACAAGTAGCTGTGTGAATTATTAGAGTATGCAAATGTTGACTTCATCACCCATTTAGTGGAGATTCAATATCACTCAGCAGGTCCGTCACAGAACGTTGCTCGCTGCACTAGACATCTGAAGGTCTCTCTTTCTTTAGCCAATTCTCCAGCCTTATTTGCTTTTATAGCCAGGTTTGAGGTTTGAACAACGGATCAACATCAGGGCACACGGGTAGTAACTCATAAGTGCTCAGTTCTTCATCTTACTCAAATCTGAGTCCGAAGAAGCTCAGCACAATGCACAGGCTCTGTAGCACAAGCAAGGATCCTGAAATACTTTGGGAAGATTTTTAACTCCAATTTTTGCCCAGGCATCGCCGCTAGGCTACTCTTTTCAATTTCCAACTGCCAGTGGAATTTTTTTGGTGCACAACAATGCACACGGGCATCCGATCTCACTACCCAGAGACCAGGGGGAATTGCTAGAAGTCCAAGTCCATGTGAAAAAATCCCAGCCCTTACTGGGGATTGAACCGAGAACCTCTAGCCCTCGATGTGGACACCATGCCTCAAGACCATGCAGCCCCTGCATCTTCAGTGTCTTGTATCCACCTTTGGAGGTCGCTCTCTGACTTTCTTTATGGAAATACATCCTCCATCACTGGTTGTGTGTTCGTGTGGGTATGTGCAAATATTTTACCACCCATGCTTTTGTATTTTTTCCTGGAAATTCATATTGTGCATATAGTTATATGAAGATAACAATGCTTTATTTTCCCTTGTGGGTCGGGGCTCCATTGTGGGAGAAACCAGAGTAGACAACCACTGCCTCTCCATCAAGTATGTCGTAAGATTCTTCTAACTGGAGCTTTCCTTCAAAGTTGGTGTGCATCTGCCTGAGAGGCAAGAAACTAACAGTCTGCATACAGATAAGTCAGATCTGTAAAACAGATGCGCATGCAACTCTCAGGTTCTGAAACAAGTCTAAAGTCCAGAGATGGATAAACAACCAGAACTTTCTGCCGGAGTTTACAGCCAGTGAACTTGAAGAAGAAGAAGAATGCTTATTGATAAAATACAGTTGCTGTGTGAAAGACGAGTGTTTGGAAAGGCCAAATGTAAGACGGGCCTGCGTGCCCAAATTGTGACCTTTTGAAAATAAAGTTTGTTCAACCATTTTCTCCAGTCCACCATGACACTTAACAAAGCCAAAATACCCTAGCTTCAGGATAGGATTCTGTTTATGAGCCAATTCTCCTCGATATTGAAATCATGCAGGATGTCAGTGTTGTAGTTCTTCCTATTGGTCCACTGTATTCTATGAATTTTTCTGTAGCATAGTGCAGATTCTTGTATACAGCACCAAATGACTGATGCACCACTAGCAGGATAAGGGTCCTTAACTCATTCAGTCCCAGGGGTTTTAGCAATGGAAGCCCAAGGGGCCGTTGCAGAGAAGTCTATAATCAGCACATATTGTGTTCATTGGGCTTCTAGGCAGGAACTCAGGAACATATCATGTGTTCATTTACACTGAAAAAAAGTTGAGAAACAAATAAAGCAGAAGTCTGTGGACAGAAATTATAACCAACACCACATGGCATGTGTTGTCATAATCATTGTCCCATAACACAGTGGGTCATTAGGTCACTAGCTTGCTGTTGACTGTCTTTTTTGAAACCCTACGCTGGCTTTTGCCGGGGGCCATAAATACAGCCGGACCATAAATATGGCCTAACGGTTGAATGGGGTTTCCGGGACCTCTCCATGGGTGATCCTCATAGGCATGGTGGCACTTTGTGCCAACAAGTGTTTATCGCTTGTGTGATGTCCTGGTGGGGTACACCTTACTTACATACATACTACTTCCTCCACCTCTGTTTGTCATATGCAATGTACTGGTTGCATGTTTTAGGCCTGTACGTCAGCAGAGATTTGTACTATGAGTAAAGGACCCTTTTCCACCTTTAAAAAGTATTAGGTGTATAGGGCTAGACTTATATTCAATAGACCATTCAGCACTTAGTGGATGATGCTGTCAACATCCCGCCATCCACCTTTACTTTCCAGGACTGTACCTAGGTATCTCTTTAAGGCTGGCCAACCTGGGGGCCAGTTTTGAAAAAAGTCCAGCTCTTTTCGGATATGAACCTGCCACCTTCAAATCCACATATGAGCATCTAGTTACTACACCACGGCAACTCACTCTGTATTGTAGGGTATAGAAACAATTTCCCTGGCTTGTTTTATATTAGTCAACATTTTGGCTGACATAACTGTTATGTTGACATGTTCAGATGCAGGTACGAGCTGCTAAGGCCTCACCGTATCCGGAGCCTGTACAGGTACCACTCCTTGAAGACCTCATGAGGGATATTGGAGATGGCTGCAGTGTGGGTGCTATCATTGCCTTCTACCGGCCACAATTACTTTGCATAAAAGGTTAGAAATATTCATTTTTCCCCTCCTCCGTCCCCCTTCTTCCCCCTTCACCTGTAGCTTCTTCTTCTTCCTCCTCCTCAGCTTCACTTTCTTCTTCTCCTTATCCCCCTCCACCTCTTACCTTTTAATTTGATATGTTTAAAACAAACATGCATACCATACATTAAATGCCTTACCAAAAGAGAGCAAGAAGTGCAAAGTAATACACTGGGAAATTAATAGGACTGTGACTTGCACATAGACCACATTGATCATGCACATGGTTGTGACAGAAACTGGCAGAATGACTGATGCAGTATTGTGTGTATGACTGCTGGTTGTTTTGACTGCTGCTTCCGGTACCAGTGAACTGCAACTGTAAAGGAGGGGGGAGGGGGAGGTGTGCTGTTGGTGTTGTAACCTCTGATGATAGTACTTATGCATTAACATGTGTGTATGCTGTTTGCTTTCCCAGGACTGATGTTTTTTTGACTTAGGAGTTGTTAACAGGATTTCAACAATGATATGAGCGTTGAACCATTCAGAAAGCAGTGTAGTGGCAAAGTACTTGAGTGTAAAATTATCTAGTAAAGTCACAAACGACAAGTACATGCTATGGTTAGTGTGCAACACCCTGGAATGGGTACGCATTTACTTAAATTTCGCCTTCAGTGGCTGCCATGAGTTGAGACCCTAATGAATAATTGATTCTACTCTTAAGGCATATTGCATCCTTGCAGTTATTATTCTGCCCTTAAATAGCAATATCAGTATGGAAATATGATTTATTAGGTGGCCCTAAACTTTTGACCACACAGTAGTTTTTGGCATCAGTATGACTGCTGTCATCCTTCCTTGTTTTTGACACGTTTCTTTCTGTTTGTTTACATAAGCCGGAAGCTTTCTCACTGACTCATCTTGTAATCTGGTTTGTTTGCAGATCTGATCCTAAAGGAAGGCATTGGAACAGCGGACGCTCTGTACAACCTGCAGCAGATCGGGAATTTCTGCCAGAGTTACTTTCCCTGCCGGTGCTTCCACCTGTCATATGAGGACCTCTTGTACACACACGGTGTCATGAAAGTGAACATTCTTGCCTTTCTTGCAGACCTTTTCCATGGTTTTGAGGGGCCTGACTCCTTTACAGGTCAAGATGGGGGCCTGGGATCAGCAAAAGCTTCTGCTGAAATTGTTGATGGTATTATTTCTTTTTTTGTTAAAAATATTTTGTTCCTTTTTATTTCATGCATATGCTTAAAAGCTGAAACAAAATATGGAACTCACATTTTTGAATGTTTTAGAACCAAATTACGTATTTTCAATTGTAATATTATTTCAGTTTTGATCTTCTGTGCTAGTGAAAGTTGGAGAATCACTAAAGACATATAACAGAAGTAAATTTCTTTCAAAAATAAATGCCTGAGGAAAATTATGAATTTAGAATGGGGATGAATTCAAGAGGCATAAAAAAAAAATAATAAGAGAATTGTGTGGGCAACCACTAGCATCAGTAGATTGCATCAATAGATTTAAGATGTAGAAGATGGCGCTATATTGGACACATTCTAACCAGGAAGACTAACCCTGACAACAAATGCCTACAGAAGTCGGATGTGTTGGCAGAAATGTGTGAACTCGCAGCCATGCTGTAAACGGGCATAACACAAATACATCTTTAGATGAATGCAGAAGAAGAAGGGCATATTTTGAGAAGAGACGAACAGAGAATAACCAAACACGCACTGAAATGGGAAACAGAGGAAGCGAGGACCTACAAAAGAAACCCTAAAACAGATGATGAGAGAGAGGCCAAAGCTGCTAAATTAGATTCCGCCAATGATATCGAAGTGACTGCACAGGATAGAATGGAATGGAGAAATAGACCGCGAGCTCTGTGTGACATATAATGACAGAACAGAACAGTGAATGAATGAATAAATTAAAAATATTTTTTTTCTGTTTTCTTTCATTTATTTGTTCATGCTGGCTTGTTGGCCTTGGTGTTGTGTGTTGGAATCCCCATCGGCAGGAATTGTTAGAAAAATTGACATTGACTTTCTTTCCTCTTTTGATTGTTCCAAGGCCCTATTGTTGGAAAACAAGAATAGACCCACTGCCTCCCTAATATGCATGTTGTAAGAGTAAAGAGATTAAGGGTTTTCTTTAAAGTCAGAATACCTGTGCCTGAGAGGCAAGGAACCAACAAATTGCATTCATAAATGCTGGATCTGTAAAAGGGCTCAAAGTAAACATTAGAAATGTTTTCATAGGAAATCGGAGGAAATTAAAACTAGTACCACACTCAAATTATTTAGCTCTAAGTCAGTTCACTACTGTTTTATTTTATTGAAACATGGAGAATAACTAAAACAAACTAGTTTCTAATAAATTGGAAACGTTCATTAACAGGGCCTGTGCAGATAGAGGGAATTAAATTTTTTGAGAACATCTACCTGTGTACGTATTTGTGTTTGGATAGGTCTGTCTGAACTTTAGATAGGTCTGATTAGTGCTCCTGAACTTTAGACAGGTCAGATTATCAGCTCCTGAACTTTAGATAGGTCAGATTAGTGCTCCTGAACTTTGGATAGGACTAATTAGTCTCACCTGAACTTTGGATAGGTCTGATTAGTCGCACCTGAACTTTGGATAGGACTAATTAGTCTCACCTGAACTTTGGATAGGTCAGATTAGCGCTCCTGAACTTTGGATAGGACTAATTAGTCTCACCTGAACTTTGGATAGGTCTGATTAGTCGCACCTGAACTTTGGATATGACTAATTAGTCTCACCTGAACTTTGGATAGGTCAGATTAGTGCTCCTGAACTTTGGATAGGACTAATTAGTCTCACCTGAACTTTGGATAGGTCTGATTAGTCGCACCTGAACTTTGGATAGGACTTATTAGTCTCACCTGAACTTTGGATAGGTCAGATTAGTCGCACCTGAACTTTGGATAGGACTAATTAGTCTCACCTGAACTTTGGATAGGTCAGATTATCGCTCCTGAACTTTAGATAGGTCTGATTAGTCGCACCTGAACTTTGGATAGGTCTGATTAGTTGCTTCTGAACCGTGAGATGATAGGATCTTACTTGACAATGGTCAAAGAGCAGTAGAAGCAACATTACGCTATACCATACTTTATTTGTGTGAATCAGTGATTGTGTCGATCACACATGGTTATTTTTTTATTTTTCTTTATTTTCTTTTAGACCAGCCTCACGGGCCAGTAAGAATTTCTCATGGGCTATAGTTTGCCCACCCCTGGTATATATGCTCAAGTAGTTTGTGTGTATATTTGTTTGTTCCAGCCGTGCCTGCAGCAGGCAAGAAGAGTTCCCAGACCGTACATGGCACAGTTCCCATCAGCCAGGTGACCAAGAGAAGCTTCCACAGACCAGGCCTGGAGGAAACTGCTAGTAACCTTGGCATGGGAAGATCAGCAGTCACCAGTCCAGTGTGAGCACATAATTCTTCTTCTTTGTAAACTCCAGCGGAAACTCCTGGTTGTTCATCCGTTTGGACTTTGGCTTTGTGCCAAGACCTGAGTTTTGCGTGTACTTCCGTTTTAAAGGCTTATTTGTGTGCAGTTAGATGTTCCTAGCTGCTCAGGCACATGTACTCCGACTTTGAAGGAAGTCATCAATTAGTCAACTCCTACGACATGCTCGTTAGGGAGGAAGTGGGTCTATTCTTGTTTTCCCCACAAGTGGGCCCCGGAACCCACAATGAGATCACAGAATTCTAGATGCTTCCAGTGTCTCTATATCTCTCTTCCTGTCTCTCCTCCAGTCATCAGCAGACACCTGTCCAATGAGAGTTTGGGATCTAGCTGCTCTCTCTGTCTCTCTCTCTCTTGCTCTTTGTGTCTCTCTGAATGTAATTAATGAGGCTAAAAAGGCAGAATGTAAGAGGGGCCTGCGTGCCTAATTCTGAACCCTTTGAAAATTAAGTTTGTTCATTCATTCATTCTCTATGTTTATCTGTCTTTTCCTCACTGATTAACTCTTTGTGCATCCACCTTTCTGTCCGTCTTGGTCTGTCTCTCCTCCTCTCACACCACCGTATGAGGAGAATGGTGCTGCGAGCAGTGACGAGGGGATGTGGCCAATATCCAGCTCTGAGGGTATAGGCAAGATGGGATATACATACAATCATACTGTTACCATCACCTTCAGAATTGGAATTGTGCGCTGGCTGCTGAAGATTGGGACGGAGCGCTTATGGGAACGTCCTAGATGCTGAGATGTCAGTTCTTAATTATACATTAAACAGACTGATGTATGGAGTTCATGCACTGTACTGAGATTTTATTGTGTGATCTTTACGAACAGGCTGAAGAATATACTGATATCCATTAGCAATTGAAGGGATCCAACACCCAAAACCTTTAATAAAATGAAAAATAGCTGTCCTTTACCCTATTTATCACAGTATTCCTCTGTTTTCTCTCTTCTGTCTCTGTCTCTTATTGTAGCTAACTCACAGAGCATGTTGAGAAAGGTGAAGGCAGGCATGCTTCGTGCAGAGTGGCAAGCATCACTGCAGATGTCCCGAGTAGTTGGCATCCTTTGGATATTTTCTTCAGGTCATACTGGTGTGTTGAGAAATAGGTAGGCAGATAGACTGGCCAGTTCTGCACCACTTGATGGGAAACTGATGTATGACAAGCTACATGTTGTAAGGAGCAAGTGGACAGTGCAGAGGCACAGATAGATCGTTTGGGTCTGAAGAGAATGGTGCTGCAGTGAGTCACCAGGGAATCTGGCCGAGGCTCAACCCTGCAGGGAAAGGCCAGACATACAATCAGACAGTTACTGGTGCCACCGGCATTGGAACCCTTCGCATGCTGCTGATTATATGTCAAAAATGGTTCTAATAGAAAAAGAATCTATAAGGAAGCGACTGGCCTGCGGATTGGAAGGTTGTGTGTTCTGGTTCTGACAGAACCACGCTTTCTTAAAAAAATGACCTTGACTCCTAGGTCAACCCTTTCTTGAGCGGGTACCAATTGCAGTCCTGGGAAGTAAAGGTGGCCGGCATGATGTTGATCACATTACCTGTCAAGTGCTGATTGGTCGATACAATATAGGTCTATCCCTTTATGCCCAGTATGCTGGTTAGGTTAGTTGCGTATCCTTTACAGGACGTTGCAGAACCAGCCCCAACAGCTCCTGGCTGTTGTGTGGTTTCTCTAGGCAAATTTATGTCCAGTAGTTTGCCATTGCTTTTTGGACAGTCGGCTTTCTCAATACCACTGTCGAAACCAACGCAAGGCACATGGCCCACAGCTGGGATCGAACCCCAGTATGCTGGAAGGCATGGAAAAGGGTCCTTTACTTACTTTAACTTACATATGGAAACTTTCCTCTTGTGGGTTCTGGGGCCACACTGTGGGGGAAACAAGAATTGACCCACTGCCTCCCCAACTAGCATGTTATAGGTGTCGACTAATTGGGAGCTTTCTTCAAAGTCAGAGTGCATCTGTCTGAGGCAAGGAAACAGCAGTCTGCATACATATAAGTCAGATCTGTAAAACAGATGTGCATGCAACATTCAGGTTCTGGAATAAGTCTAAAGAACTTTCCATCGAAGTTTACAGCCGATGAATGTGAAGAAGATAGGGAAACTTGTGAGACACTCTGTATGATTTATTTTCTTTTGCAGGTTTCATCAACCATTACTTTCAAAACGGATATCAGGAAGGCACTGCATCCCTCAGGAGGAAGGAGGCCTGTCCTTGTCAGCATCAACCAGACGGAGTTCCAGTCGGAGGGCCCAGTCACTGAGCACTGCCCAGGATCGAGACATAGTTCATAAGTCTGTCCTAGCCTGGCAGGATGACCAGAAGTTACAGCAGAGGTAGTGCAGTGTGTTACTTGTCACTTCTCTTTTGTTTCTAGGTCTCAGAGGTGTCTTCTTGAACTCTTTCAGTGCCAACAAAATGTCGTAAGAGTCAATCAGTTGGAAGTTTTCTTCAGAGTCAGAATGCATCTGCATGAGAGGCAAGGAACCAACAGTCTACACACGAATGAGTCAGATCTGTCAAATGGATGCGCACGTAACACCCAGGTTCTGAAACAGGACTGCAGTCCAGAAGTGGACGAACAACCAGAACTTTCCGCCGGAGTTTACAGCCGATGAATGCGAAGAAGAAGAGGAAGATTTCTAGGGCCAAAAAGTTCCCGGAACTGATGCCTAGAGCGCAGTAAGGTCTGGACGTCTAAATCTGTTTGACCTTACTGTGTGTGGCACACTTGGTCATTTATTTATGTTTCTGGGTCTCGGACAGATCAGGCTTCAGTCCTTAAGTTTCTGTAATGGAATTCTGGGACTGGAGGAGTTAGAAGCAGAAGTTGATTTACAAAGGTAATGATGTAAATTACCGAGGCAGTCTGTAATTTACAGAGATAATATGTGATTTACAGAGACAGTAATGTGATTTACAGAGGCCACAGTATAATTTATAGAGGTCACAATGTAATTTATAGAGGTGAAGTTATAATTTACAGAGGTGGTAATGTGATTTACAGAGGTGAAGTTGTAATTTACAGAGGTGACAGTAATTTACAGTGGGGATGGTTTAATATACAGAGAGGACTAATTTACAGAGTGAAGGTGTAACAGGATAGTGTAATTTACAGAGATAATGGTTTTATTTTCTGGAAATTACAGAGCAGATGGTACACTTTGCTGAGTATACTAATTTACAAAGAGAGTGGCTTAATTTGTAAAGAACTATAGACCACTTTATCCAGAGTTAGAGCCTAATTTATGGAGAGGACATTTATAATTTATGGGATAGCCAGAGCTGTTTATGAAGAAAAGAATTCCTAACTTATGTGTAGCAAGTTGCTTGTTTGAAAGAAGAGAAAGAAAACTATGTTTACAAGATGACATCCTACTTTCTCTACTCCTCAGATCTGGTTTTGAAGGAAGCTTCAGCAATCCGTGCAACCAGCTGTCAGCGAATGTCAGCCTGGACTCTGCTCTCAATCGAAATAGCAATGCCAACAGTAACCTTGGCTTAGACTTCAGCGGCTTAGAGTCACCTCGGTAAGTAACATTCTAGTAAAGATAATAATATCCTTTGATTGGTCTTCTTGGGAGCTGCTCTAGCATTGTGGTGTGATGCTTGCCTGTACCCTAAGGTCTTGGGCTCAAATCCACATTGTGTTGATTGTCATCTTCTTTTTTGCATTCCCCGTCAGTAAACTCCAGTGGAAAGTTGTTGTCCCCCCCAATCCACCTCCAGATTTTAGTCTTATTCCAGAATATGAGTGTTGCAAGCACATCTGTTTTACAGATCTGGCTGATTAGTATGCAAACTCTTGGCTCCTTACCTCTCAAGCAGATGCACTCCGACTTGGAAGTGTGCTTCCATTTAATGGACTCCTGTGACTTGCTTGTTGGGGAGGCAGTATGTTTGTTCTTGTTTTCCCCACTATGAGGCCCTGAAAAATACATGGGGGAAGTTGAATTAAAAAAAAAAAATACAATGACTGACTCCCAGTTGACCTGGCCCAAAGGTAATATCTCATGAAGTAAAGACGAGTCAAGTCATGTTGATCCAGCCCAAAGGTAATGTCTCATGAAGTAAAGACGAGTCAAGTCATGTTGACCCGGCCCAAAGGTAATGTCTCATGAAGTAAAGACGAGTCAAGTCATGTTGACCCGGCCCAAAGGTAATGTCTCATGAAGTAAAGACGAGTCAAGTCATGTTGACCCGGCCCAAAGGTAATGTCTCATGAAGTAAAGACGAGTCAAGTCATGTTGACCCGGCTCAAAGGCAATGTCTCATGAAGTAAAGTCGCGTCAAGTCATGTTGACCCGGCCCAAAGGTAATGTCTCATGAAGTAAAGACGAGTCAAGTCATGTTGACCCGGCTCAAAGGCAATGTCTCATGAAGTAAAGTCACGTCAAGTCATGTTGGCCCGGCCCAAAGGTAATGTCTCATGAAGTAAAGACGAGTCAAGTCATGTTGACCCAGCCCAAAGGTAATGTCTCATGAAGTAAAGACGAGTCAAGTCATGTTGACCCAGCCCAAAGGTAATGTCTCATGAAGTAAAGACGAGTCAAGTCATGTTGACCCAGCCCAAAGGTAATGTCTCATGAAGTAAAGACGAGTCAAGTCATGTTGATCCAGCCCAAAGGTAATGTCTCATGAAGTAAAGACGAGTCAAGTCATGTTGACCCGGCCCAAAGGTAATGTCTCATGAAGTAAAGACGAGTCAAGTCATGTTGACCCGGCCCAAAGGTAATGTCTCATGAAGTAAAGACGAGTCAAGTCATGTTGACCCGGCTCAAAGGCAATGTCTCATGAAGTAAAGTCGCGTCAAGTCATGTTGACCCGGCCCAAAGGTAATGTCTCATGAAGTAAAGACGAGTCAAGTCATGTTGACCCAGCCCAAAGGTAATGTCTCATGAAGTAAAGACGAGTCAAGTCATGTTGACCCAGCCCAAAGGTAATGTCTCATGAAGTAAAGACGAGTCAAGTCATGTTGACCCGGCCCAAAGGTAATGTCTCATGAAGTAAAGACGAGTCAAATCATGTTGACCCGGCTCAAAGGCAATGTCTCATGAAGTAAAGACGAGTCAAGTCATGTTGACCCAGCCCAAAGGTAATGTCTCATGAAGTAAAGACGAGTCAAGTCATGTTGACCCAGCCCAAAGGTAATGTCTCATGAAGTAAAGACGAGTCAAGTCATGTTGACCCGGCCCAAAGGTAATGTCTCATGAAGTAAAGACGAGTCAAGTCATGTTGACCCAGCCCAAAGGTAATGTCTCATGAAGTAAAGACGAGTCAAGTCATGTTGACCCAGCCCAAAGGTAATGTCTCATGAAGTAAAGACGAGTCAAGTCATGTTGACCCGGCCCAAAGGTAATGTCTCATGAAGTAAAGACGAGTCAAGTCATGTTGACCCAGCCCAAAGGTAATGTCTCATGAAGTAAAGACGAGTCAAGTCATGTTGATCCAGCCCAAAGGTAATGTCTCATGAAGTAAAGACGAGTCAAGTCATGTTGACCCGGCCCAAAGGTAATGTCTCATGAAGTAAAGACGAGTCAAGTCATGTTGACCCGGCCCAAAGGTAATGTCTCATGAAGTAAAGACGAGTCAAGTCATGTTGACCCGGCTCAAAGGCAATGTCTCATGAAGTAAAGACGAGTCAAGTCATGTTGACTCAGCCCAAAGGTAATGTCTCATGAAGTAAAGACGAGTCAAGTCATGTTGACCCATCACATATTGGTCTAAACAAAAATATTTCTGGTACCATGTGCAAAGTGGCTCATGCCATTTGTAAATGATATGTACAGCTTGATGCTGAGAATAAAACATGGTACAGTCGAGTGGATAAGTGGAAGTTGCAGGGACCTAAGAAAATGCATCCACTTATCAGGATTTCTACTTATCCAGACAGCACGCTCAATAGAGAAAATTCCCGAGACTAAGCTGGTCATGTCGACTTGACCGAAACTCGACTTATCCGAGTTCGACTTAAGTGGACTCGACTGTATAAATATTTCAGGCTGACAATCTCCATTTGTCTCTTCAGCTCTTTATCCCCAAGTGGAGCATAGGCCCTTAACAAATTCATGACAGGTCGTCGCAGCCTTTGCTGTTGCATGCAGCTCACCCCATATCCTCACCATCTTTTTAACTTTCCTGTCTATCTCCCTTCTGCCTTTTTTTTTAAAGAGGGGGGGGGGGGGGGTTGTTTGGTCTGCCTTTATTTCTTTGCCCCTGTGGGTTCTAATGCAAAGGCATTTTAGTTAAATTGTTTTCAGGTTTTCTCATGTGTCCCATCCGGCTAGTCTTGTCAGCTAGCATATGACTGGCACTATTAACCGTGCAACGCTGATGAATATGTTGAAGTTGGAAGGAATCTGAGCACCTATGGATGTGTCCGGAGTGCTGTGAAGATAATCCAACTTATAACTCACAGTGAAGAATTATTCTTATGGTTTGGCCTGGTCTTATGTTGTAACTTTATGCACTGCTATTTGCTTTATTTTAATTTCTGCAGCCAAGACTACATGGATTTTGAAAACATCACTTTAGACTATCCATATGCAACCCACCCACATCCACCGACTGACCGGCTGAGTAACCGAACACCTGTGGCTACTGTCACTGACCAGAAGCTTGAACCTCTGATGCCTGCCTTGCTGAAACCTGCCAAAGAAAAACAGATCAACTTGAGTAAAGCGGAGGAGAGTGGAGACAGGTATTACCTTGTGGATATGTTAGAAGGGTATAGGTCAAGACATTTGTCATGTCAGCTGCAAATTGAATATATATGATACTAGACTTAAATATTTATTGACCATTTGGCACTTAGTGGGTAAACAGTGAGGAGGGACAGATAGATCATTATGGTCTGAGGAGAATGGCGCTGCGAGGAGTTATCAGGGGATCTGGCTGACGTTCAACACTTGGGGAAAGGATGAGATGGATATACAGACATATAGCATTTAGAAAGCTTTTTCTTGCAAATCAGGTAGTTTTTATAAAGCTGACAATTTTGCCATAAAAACCTCAGTGATGAAGGTGATAGGAGTGATGGGATGGTGACCTGATACATATTGTTTTAGTCCCTGGGAAATACATTCCATTTAATGCTTCACTCTGCTGTTAAATTGATTATTATCTTCATATATCTTAATATATTTCCTCAAAAAAAATAAAAAAAATGTAGATAAATAATTTTTAAACATTACATTATCATCATCATCATGTGCCATGCCGGTAAGTGTAGACGGTCATGTTTTGCCATCTCACATGATCACCAGAATCCTCGATCAGTTCAGTGTTTTTGTCTCGCCCCATCCATCTTGCCAGGCCATCCTGATATTTATCTCTTTGCCTTCCTCTTGCTCTCTTTCCTGTTAATCTTGCCGGTTGTTACCAAGTTACCGAGTCCATTCCTTCGCATAAATAAAAAAAAAAAAACATTTGCTGTCTGCGTCTGATTATTCTAATAAGTTTACGACTTTCATCTGTCCTGATGAGGATTGCTTTGTTTGTTTGTTTTTCTATCCTTCCATATTCTTTGTATTCTTCTCAGAAGCGACATCTCTGCCGCAAGTAAAAGTATTTCAACAATTAGTTACCTTTGGGAAATCATTTTTAAAAGGATTTATTTTTTGAAATTCTTGAGGCGTTATAAGTATTTTTTGTTTTGTTTTGTTTTGGAAAGTGTTAGTTACCTTTGGGAAATCATTTTTAAAAGGATATTTTTTTGAAATTCCCAAGGCTTTATAAGCATTTTTTGTTTTGTTTTGTTTTGGAAAGTGTTCGTGGGGTGAAAATGTCAATAAATGAGAGATGAGAGATCTGATAAATGTGTGTCATGAATTATTACCACACGCACAGGTCACACAGGAGGAGAAAAGTGATGCCTTCCTCCGAGCAGTCACCAGTGTCATTATTGTCGCAGCGGTCAACAGCCTCACCCATATCCCCAGGTTGGTATATATCAATTAAAGGACCTATTTCTCCACCTTAACATGCTAGCTCCACATAATTATAAATAAGTTAATATATACTTGTTTAGTGATTTGGTACATTGCTTACTGTATATATGTTGCTTAAAAAAACCATAGCTACTAAAAGGAATTTTACCGGAAAGGCTAACCCGGTCAACAAATGCCAGCAGAAGTTGTATGTGTTGGCCAAAAGGTGCAAATATCGCAGCCATGCTGTAAACAGACAGAACGCAATTATATCTTCGGATGAACGCAGAAGAAGAAGAAGAAGAAAGGATTTTTTTTTTTTTAAATAATGGAAATCGTTCAAATTGCACACAAGAATGCCCTGTAAATAGGGCTGAATACGAATAGCGGGACCAACTATTCGGCCGAATACGAATAGTGTAAAGTGTATTAAAAATATCTTTAAAAAAAAAAAAAAACCATTCATAATGTCAAATGTAGGCTGGACTTTTACTTCACATAAAGTAGCACAGAATAGTCATCTTCTTCTTTAGCATTCTGAGCATTTGAGGTTTACTGCTGCAGATATCACTCATCTCCATTCATCTCTCTGGCTGGCCTTCTCTTCACAATTTGTGACACCACTTGTTTGCAAGTCTGGCTGGACATTATCTCTTAAATTTTTTTTTTTTCTGCCTCGTGGTCTACGCCCATTCCTCTCTCAGGTGTATACAGTTTTTACTTCTCTGTCATCTGACATTTTTTCAATATGCCCGAGGCATTTTAGTCTGTTAGCTCTCATGATGCCAGTGATCAATGGTGATTTAAACAGATTATGTGTTAAGTTGTTGCTTCTCACTCTGCATTCCCCGCTGTCTTTAATAGGTCCAAAGATTTGTCATAAGACCGTTTTCAAAAGCCTATATGTAATAAGACCTCATCTCTTTTATTTCTGCTTCAAGTTCCAGAGCCAAATTAAACGACTGGTCTTATCAATGTTTTATATAGTTTGATCTTGGTGTTGCGAGACAGACAATTTGACTTTATCAGATATTGAAGGGCATAATAGACTTTATTTCTAGATTGTATTCTAGATTGTATTTCTTCTCTCAGCGTGTTGGAGCAGTTTAAGTTTGCACCCAAGTACTTATATGTTTCCGTTCATTTGATTTTCATATTATCGACTTGGATGTGGCCGGCGTTTATATTCTTTGCATGTCTAGATAGTGTTCGTACAGAATAGTAAACATTTAAAAACATGTTATGTTCTGCATCCTTCAGTCAGTCTGTGGTAACTAATAACTAGGAATGAAAGAATCCTAAGTATTATAACAAGTAACTAAACTTGGAAATTGTCACTGACAGCTTAGTTAATGCATGAAAGCTGCATTAGCACCTATTTGGCCAAATACCGAATAGTCAATAGGTCCACTATTCGGCCCCGAAGCGAATACGAAGCAAATATTCGGTACAGCCCTACCTATAATGTTGACAGTTCTTTTGCGTCTGAGTCGTTGATAGTTTTTAAGTGTCCTGGCTTTTCTGTCAACTAATAAAAATATGCGATAGGATAACTGTGTTTCATTTTTGTTAGCAGCCTACTTCCAGGAACATTTTCTGGTTCCCATTTGGGGCTAGGTCGACCTGGGAGTCCAGATAAATTAAAAATTATAACGTCTTGAGCCTGAGGATTTAGGGTCTGATGGTTAGTGCAGTCACCATGAACTGTGCAGGTTAGAATGTTTATTTTTGCCTCTGACAGACAAAAACACACACATCTATCATCTCACCTCAGTAATTCTAGAGAGAATTTACTGAGAACGAGAGGCAGCAGATGGACGTTACCCGATAATTTAAGGCCTAATTACATCATCAGAGCAGATCCTTTAGAGACCATTGCTCTAATCACTGCACACCTGAAAGTCTCTCTCTCTCTGTCTGTCTGTAGCCTATTCTCCAGCCCTGTGTACTTTCATAGCTAGTGCATCTTCAGTGTCTTTTATCCACCTTCACTAAGATCTACCTCAGCTTAGTTTTCTGTAAAAATGCACCCTCCATCACCGTTCTTTCCAGGTTACCTTGACTCTGTTTAGAGTTTCTAGTAATATTTATTATGGTAGTCTTCCCTTGTCGGCTCTTTGGCTAAGTCGATGCAAACGCTTCATAATGCCGGGGTGCCAGGTTCGATCCCATCTGCGGGCCATGCGCCTTGCGCCTCGCGTTGGTTTTGACAGTGGTATCAGGGGGCCGACCGTCCAGAAGGCAGTGGCAAACTACTGGACGTAAATTTGCCAGAGAAACCACACAACAGCAACAGCCAGGGGCTGCTGAGGTTGGTTCTTCAACCTCCTGTAAAGGATACGCAACTAACCTAGAGTTTTCCCTTGCTTTCTGCATCCACAAAGCTGAGCATCTCTACCTTCAGCAATCTTTAAAATTGTCTGTCTATTGCTGGCAGATATACCTGATGAATATATTTGAATATATTGATAATATTGCATGATGATGATGATACTGATGACAGAAAAATCCTTAGAATTCCTTGAACAGCAAAGAAAAGCAACCCAGAAGTATTGAAGTGAAAGAGGCGAATGCTCGAAGACAACTTAATACAAACATTAGAAAGAGATAGTCATAATTTTGTGGTCGTGTTATGAGAAGAGGGAAAATGGAACATGTGACCACTGGAAAGATCTGTGGAAAAAGAACAGAGGAAAACAGCGTGAAAAGATTCTTGACTGTCTTTTGTCATGGCATGGAGGGGTGTCAACACACAAACTGACACGCAGTTGCAGATCACAGATTATGGAGAGGGATGATCGCCCACACCAGTCGGCGAAGCACTTGATGATGATGATATTGATGATCTTACAGGGGGCAGCAGCCAATCTCCATACTCCAGGACACCTCCTCAAAGTTCCCGCGGGAAAGCATTTGAAGCCTTTGGGGTTGAACCAGGCTCAGAAATACATGCAGAGTTAGACACCAAGTCCAAGCAGACAAACCCTACCCAGCCTGTCCTGCAGAGAAGTAAGAAGATATGCATTGTTTTGTATGTTTGTTGCTGTTGTTGCACACCGTGATGTGTTGAGTTTAATGTAGTTAGAGATGCACACCATGATGTGTTGAGTTTAATGTAGTTACTTATACACCATGATGTGTTGAGTTTAATGTAGTTAGAGTTGTACACCATGATGTGTTGAGTTTAATGTAGTTGCTTATTCACCATGATGTGTTGAGTTTAATGTAGTTGCTTATTCACCATGATGTGTTGAGTTTAATGTAGTTAGAGTTGTACACCATGATGTGTTGAGTTTAATGTAGTTGCTTATTCACCATGATGTGTTGAGTTTAATGTAGTTGCTTATTCACCATGATGTGTTGAGTTTAATGTAGTTACTTATTCACCATGATGTGTTGAGTTTAATGTAGTTACTTATTCACCATGATGTGTTGAGTTTAATGTAGTTACTTATTCACCATGATGTGTTGAGTTTAATGTAGTTACTTATTCACCATGATGTGTTGAGTTTAATGTAGTTAGAGTTGTACACCATGATGTGTTGAGTTTAATGTAGTCACAGTGCCAGTTCAGTGCCTGAGAGTGAGGAACCATGAATATTGCAGTGCTGCTTGACAACACTAGTAAAGTATTCATGAATGTTTACCTCACTACTGCAGTACTACTTGACAACACTAGTAAAGTATTCATGAATGTTTACCTCACTAATGCAGTACTACTTGACATGACTAGTAAAGTATTCATGAATTTTTAGCTCACTACTGCAGTATT